TTGTGGGTGAACATTTATTTATTTGTATGTGGTGTTGAGAATCAAACCCAATGCCTCACACATGCTAGGCAAGCGCTCTCCCACTGAGCCACAACCCCAGCACTCCCATGGATTATTGAACTCAGGATCAAAACAGTTCTCTGGGGCAAGTACCACTAATGTCCGCATTTACAGATAAGGAAGTCAAGAAGTCAAAGCCCAGAGAAGAGCTTTGCCAAGGCCACACAGCTGCCAAGTGGCCAAGATGCCCACCTGGGCACAGGGCTCCTGAACTGAGCTCCTAGACACGTCAGGGTGGCACCTGGCAGCCTGTGCCTACAGCTCAGCGGGATCTCTCCTAGGATACTTGGAAGGAATGGCCCCTCCCCCAGCCTCTGTACCTTTCACCTTCCTCGGGATCTGTGGGGTCAGGCAGCAGAGCAAGGTGCTCAGAGAGGGCACTCCTGCTTTCCCATCTTTCCTTTTAAGATATTTTGGAACAGCAGTGCGAAGGCACCTGGGCTGCTGCTGTGGATGTTAACGAGTGTGTTTGCCTGTCACATCTATCATGCTATTTGCACGATGTAATGTGAAGATGCGGCTCGAAATATTTTTAAGATATGGCCTTTTATCTCTGGAAGCACCAGACAGTATTTGCAGATTGGCCTCTGGAATGAAATGAGCCTGTAACGTTGGCTGGCTCCTGCGAAGCGCGGGTATTTCCATAAGTGGTTCGGAGTCCCTTAATCCTTTTGATCATTTGCACTGTGTATTTTTACACAGGTTCTTTTACTTTGGAGAAATAAAGTAAAGAAACTTAAAGGTGAGTTTGGCAAGGGCATCTCTGTACTGTTTGTCAATGCAAATGGACCTTGAATTTGAATGATCGTGGTTTCTCTTAAACAACTAGGCATCTTTAAACCTCTCCACAAATAGTGTCTGCATCTGTGTCTGTGGGGATTGTGTCTGCAAGTGTTGGCTGGTGAGCGGTAAACTTTCCTGACCCCATATTGCTGTTGCAAAAGAAGAGCCTAATCCTGCAAAATATTTTTGACAGCCTGGGTATCAGCTACCACCAGCTGTGATTTCTCATCAGAGCCACTGCTGTGTGACGTTTGCTTGCTCTTAGTGACTCCAGTTTCCTCTGTTCTGAAGGGGCTTGGGGTCATAGAATGGGCCCAAGCTTCCTCTTAGCTTGAAACCTAGTTGGCTTGTGGCTGTGTCTACCACTTACCAGCTGTGTGATATTGTATGAGAAAACTTGTGGACAGAACTGTTTCCTCATCTGTAAGATGGGACCATGTCTTTCTTGCACACTTGCAAACAGTTCATGTCCCCTGCTTCAAAACAGCATTATTCATGGCAGCTGAAAGGTGGAGGCACCCCACATGTGTCTTGATGGGTGAGTGGATGGGTAACATGTGGCACGTGCACACACATACCCACACTGAAATACCAGGAAGGAGATTCTGACATCTGGATGAACCTTGAGGACATCACACCAAATGAAATAAGCTCGTCACAAAAAGACAAATACCCTATGATTCCACTTTATATGGAGATACCTGAAGCAGACAAATTCATGGAGAAAGAAAGTAGGATGGGGGTGCCAGGGCCGGGAGAGGGGAGGAGCATTGGTGTTGAATGGGTGTGGTTTTGTAGGATGAGAAGCTCCCGAGGTGGGTGGTGTTTGCTGGACCATGAATGTATTGAACCCCACTGAGCTGTGCACTTAAAAATGGCTCAGTCTTATGTGGCTAATGTTATGTTATATATTCTTTATCACAGTAGAGGAAACTTGCTGTGAGCGCAAAGTGGCACCAAGTAGGCCGAGTGCCCGCCAGGCTATTGGTGTTCTAGGACTAGCAGCTTTCCCTGCGGTGAGCACGCTGGGTTTTGATAGTTACTGCATTTCATCTTGCAGCTGTTCCATGAAGCATTTCTCTCCTTGGACTTCTGTGTTTCTTATAGTCCTCCACCTTTGTGAGAATGGTGGTCAGAATGAGAGTCCTCAGACATCTTTTCCCTCCTTTGGGGTTGTACTTTTGAGGTTTCCTGGATCGTTCATCAAGATGAATGCACACCTTAGTGGCTCGTGCCATGTGTGCCAGGGGGCTTTCCCATAGGGCATGGGGACTTTTCCCTGTCACTGGACAGAAAGGGCACTGGTTCCACTATGTCCTCAACAATAGCAGCATGCTTTCCAGGGGCTGTACAAATGGTAATAAATAAGAGGTGGTATGCTAGTGTTTTCATATGCATCTATTTGCTCTTATTTGATCTAAAGATGTTGAGCATTTCGAATGTCTTGATTTACATTTATCTCTTCCTATATGAATAGTCTGCTTATAGCTTTTGCTTATATTTCTAGTGTGGCTTCAATGCTTTTCATACCGAATACATGATACATGTGTCATATTTATAACATACTGTTACCATTTTTAATATTCAGAATTTTCAAGCTTATGTAGTTAAATCATTCAACACTTCAAATGACAAAATAAGATTTTAAAGTAGATCAAAAGTGGTTTACATAACATGATTATTATACCTGCTGAATGTTCTTCCTAGACTCTCTCCTGTCATTTTTTTCTGCTCTGTCAGCATAGAATCTGTTTCGATGCTAACTTAAATGACTAAAGTATTTTAATTAAAATTATATGGAATGACCAACTAATAATAAAACATCAACATAATGACCAAGTATAACTCAATGTAAATAGGGCATGGCAAAAATTAGAGCAAAGAAGGAATGAAATTTACTAATAAACATGAAACTTATTTTTAACTCACTAATAATTAAATTCACTATAACTGAAACAATAGAATACTGACTTCTAGCTATAAATTGCAAAGTCTAAAACCATTTAACAGCGAGCAAATCTGGCCCTTAAATATGCTGCTAATGGGGAAAGAAAATTGGGTCAACTTTACTGAAAAGCAGTTTGTCTCTAGCCAATAAGAAATTTTAAAACTTTTATAAATGCTGATTTAGAAATTCCACTTATATAACTATGGCTTTTGGCAGCTTTAGAAGTGTGGAAAAATACTTACATTCAGGGATAAAAATAGGATTCAGTCTGAATGCCCAATGACAGGGAATGATTGACTAAGTAACCGGACAGCCATCTGATGGAGTGTTATGTAGTCATTCTAAGTGGTGTTTTCTGAAAATTTCAGTGGCATGGGGAAATAATTTCAGTACACCGGTAAGTGGGAAGCCTGCTATCACGATACAGTCATAGAAACTGCACGTGGGTGTGCTTGTGCATGTGCATTTGGATGCCTTCAGAAAGGGACACATAAGAAGAGTTTATAGCGCTTATGTTGCATGAATACAGGCAGGTTTTATTTTATATTTGGGTGCTTCTGCCATATTTTCTAAGCTTTATCTCACTTGCAATTATTGCATCTACAATCAGAAAGAAATTATATATTAAAAAAGTTAAAGATAATTGGTAGATTTCTTTCCTTTCCTGAACTTATGTTCCCAATGGGCACCTTGCTTTTGCTCTCCTGGGATGTGCTGAGTAGAATTCTGGACAAGAAGTCAGAGGGTGTTTTATTTAGGTTATGGCACAAAATTCACTGGCTCTGTGACCTCAAGCCAATTGACCTTACTTGAATCTCAGCTTTTGGGTTTGTGGAATGGGAATTTCTACCTTCTCCGCTGCCGGCATCAGATGGTTATAAGAACAAAAGAGGAAAAACCAGCATAGGAAAACACCAGCAAACCATGGCGCAGTTTGGGTGTCCCCAGGCCACCCTCGTGCCTGACAGTCTGCTGGAGGGACCATCGGAGCTCACTGAAGGCGGTTCCACTTGCACTTATGATTTATCATAGGGAACGAGCACAGCTCAAAATCGGCTGCAGAGGTGGGGGCAGTGTCTGGAGGGTTCCCAGGAGGTTCTGGTCTCCTCTCCTGTGGAGTCTGCACGTGTTAACCTCCCAGCATCCATGTCTGACAGCGTGCAGAGAGCATTGCATGCCAGAGAGACTTGCCGAAGCTTTGGTGTGCAGAGCTTTGACTGTGGCTCCACTGTGCCCCATGGCTCACCTCAGGCCCCAGCTTGACTGATGACATGTCATCCACAGCCCCCACCCTGGTTCACATGGCTGCTCCTCCGCCCATCCTCAGAGCTGGAGTGGCCAGCCCCATTCCTGTCTTCTATCAGAGAGGACATAAGTTATCCCCCAGTAGCCAAGGGCCAAGGCCAGACCTCTGTTTGGACAAAGTCAAGTTCTTCATTACACATGAGGTGACTGAAAGAGACAGAAAAGGAATATAAATCCAGAGATGCTGACAGTAGGGAGGGTCTGTTTTTCACCAAGTTCTAAGGCTGTGCAGTAGGAGGGACGTGAACTCCCTATTGTGAATGGTTCCTCACTCCCAATCCCTGGAACCTCCGGACTGGCTTTGAGAATGAACCTGCACCAGTGGGCCCTGCAGACATTTGCTGCAGTCACTGTTTACCAGAGAGGCCTGAGTCATTGTTTCCTGAGAAGGCACTTTCCACGGCTGTGTGTTTGAACCTGGTCCTTGCCCCCGTGTCAGCAGCACAGCAGATACAGCTCTCCACTAGCCAACTCATCTACCATGAAGCGTTCTCGGCCTGCGGTTACGGGTTTCTCCACGGCACCACCCTGCTCCGTAGGGCAGCTGAGCTTACTGTGTATAACATGGGGCAAGAATAAGCAGGCTCATTCCCCTCTGCAGGGTTCCAGTCTTGACTGTTATATGTCAGGTTGGGTTATAGGATTTCATCAGAGTGAGATTAGAAAAATGAAAATCCAAGTTCATTTCTCATGGACTTAAAGATAATAGGAGAGCACAATGGAGAATCCACAGCCCCAGGAAGCTCACTGGAGTGCAGCCGTGTGCTCCCATGGGAAAAGAGCCAGCACAGAGGCTCAGGATGAGGCAGCTCAAGTCCACTCGTGCTTTTGCCCCTCCTTCAGAGGGAATCATTTCAGCTTCTGTCTGTTGGTTTCTTGAGAACAAATAATTTGCAATAAATTGATGTTGTCAGTAAATTTTGATTGTACATTCTGTTTCTTTCAAGAAAAAACTGGTCATGCAGAAGTCGTCCGGGTTGTGTACCAGCCGGAACACATCAGCTTTGAGGAACTGCTCAAGGTCTTCTGGGAGAATCACGACCCGACCCAAGGTAGAGTGATGAGTGAGCCAGTATTTAATTATCTTACTAATTACAGCTGGGATAATTAGTGTTTGAGCTGCATGGAAGAGATGAACCTTGAAATCACACAGGAGCTCAAGAATATGATTGCAGACATTTATTGACGGAGAAGAGGAGGGGCTGGGGAGAAAAAGGGTGAGAGAATAAAGGCGCAGCCACATTCAGCACCCCTCCCCCCTTACAGCTGTCAGGGGTGGGAAAATTCCCACAGAGAAAGATGCCAGACAATGGAGATCCGTTCACCTTTGATTATTGCATTACTCCTCCTTAATGCAGTCTTTTGTCTACAAAATTAAAGTGTCTTTCCACAGCTCCAAAGTTTTCCTGATTTATGCTTCCTTTATTTCTCCGAGTTCAGCCTTCCTCATCTTTTGACGTTATCAGGTTTGTTCTCTAAGCAAACGTCTGGGGTGATTACAGAAAGAAGAATGTGAAGGTAAAATGCTGTATTCAGTAGGTCTACAATGCTTGGGTTATTTAAGTATTTCATTTGTCTTCCTTAGAATTTGTTATGTGGAAATATTAATATATATTTAGACTATAAACAACAGTGGCCAGAAATTTTATTTGAATTCACACACAAATGGAAAACCCCATGTTGGCAAATATTGTAATGTTCAACAAAGAAGCAATTTCCAGATTGTGCCCTCAGCCTCCCCAGTGCTGCTTTGCCAGACAGAAGTCTGTCTCCCCAACAAACCACTTCCTTTGGGGTCAGGGGTTTGTGCTGTGGCTGGGCCACGTTCACTGTTTCCCGATGCGTCGATATGCTTTTTCCAACCATGCGTTGTACTTGAGGTGGAATCTTCATAAGATCCCAGCAGCACAGGTTGGTAGGTTCTGAGTGCTGCTTCTGAGAACCATCTAGTGCCAGGGTGATCTGCCAGAGGGCAAAGGTCACAGCAAAGGCCATGCAGGGAGTGATAGCTCCAGCCAGGTCACATGGGTCTGGGATGCAGGCAGATCCACCAGGTGGCTCAAGACCCTAGGTTTGGGCTAGGAAGGAGGCCGGGCAGGTAGTCATGACAACGTTCTTTGTTTGACATGGTGGTAGGTCCCTGGTGGGACAAGGATGAGGTGTGAGGCAGGGTAGACTGAGGACTTCAGTCGGAAGGGGCAGATGAGACCCCAGTTTGGACCACTGGACTCTCATAGCACACACAAAAAGTAGGCCTGAGGGATTGGGCTCTGACTGTTGGGTGTCATAATAGTGTGGCAATGGCCAAGGACTCATGCTGGTAAGCCTTCCATCAGACACAGCAGACATTCAGCTGGCAGAACCCTGGGTCTGAGAGATGCTGAGAGCTCCAAAATTTATCAGTGGATACTCACCTGGGATTCCAGAGAAGGCTGAAGCCATGGGGGAGCCAGGTTCCTGCAGGCCAAGTCCATGTCCTGGGACCTGGCCTACTGTAATGAAGCCTGTCATCGACTTCTCTGCCCTTGTCCCTTTTACCCTCTTTCCTACTTTGATTGTGTCTTTGTCAGGACCAGCAGGATTGCTAGTCCTGGCCCCTGAACCTTGGGGAGAACTCTACCTTAACCAGAACCTCAAAGAACCTCCTGTTCTCCCGCTCCACATATCACCTTGGCCTGAACTTGCCCAGTCTTCATCCGGCCACCACTTTGAAGATCTTGTTTGCTGTCTGTATTCATTTATGGGGGCCATCATAACAAAGTGCCACAGATGGGGTGGCTTCAACAATAGATATTTATTCTCACTGTTCTGGAGACTAGAAATCCAAGGTCAAGCAGCAGCAGGTTTTATTTCTCCTGAGGCCTCTCTCTTTAGCTTACAAGATGGCCATCCTTTCTCAGTGTCCTCACGTGGCCTTTCCTCTGTGTGTCTCTCTGCTTAATCTCTTTTTATAAGGACACCAGTCACTGAATCAGGGCCTACTCTGGTGATCTTGATTTACTTTACTTACCTCTTTAAAAACGTTATCAAACTACAAATACAGTCCCATTCTGTGGTGCTAACATTCAGGACTTGACACATGCACTTGAGGGATTGAGCCCATAAGGTGATCTAGTGATGTAGTGGCTTTATTTGGAGCTTCATCCACAGACTCGTAAGTGGGGAGATTCTAGTGGTCATCTGGCTGAATGTCACAGCCTTGACCTCAGTGCTCCCACATTATTATCATAACTGCTTCCTGGGTAGCCAGCGTGGTAGGCCACAATAGTCATCTTTCTGTGTCTGATAAGGCTCCTTATGACCCTTCTGGAGACAGGCTGGGTGTCGATGGTCTAAGGGGTGGGTTCATGACTGGTCTGGCCAATCACAGTACATTTTCCTGTTGACAACAGACCCAAGTACTGGGCTTGTGACCCAAGCAGGGCCAATTAGCGTCCTTCCCTGTATGAGAAGGAACAACATTTTCCTTTGCTGAGGTGCCAAGGCAGAGGTGGTCTGGGTGTGGGAAGAACCTGCCTACAGGAGAAGTAGGGAAAATGAGCAGAGGCACTGAGAGACGAGAGGACCCTCTGGGGGCCGCCATGGCCCCGAGAAGGAGAGGTCCTTCCCACAGCCCACCGTGACTCTCGGAGCTCTCCCGGTGGCTTTCCAGGCTACCAGAGCTCCCATGATGTGCTCCCTAGTTGTTTTTCTTTAGCTAGGTTTTTAAATTACTGTTGCTTGCAATAACAAAAATCTGAATTCATCCATTCATCCACCTTAATTACTGTATTCATTATACTGGTAACTAGATAACCTTTTTCATCTGGGTTTATATATCAGAAGCATAAACTATCACTTCACATGTGGAGTGGGGACACTAAAAATGAAACTTCAAGACCTATTGGTGGTTTGATTAGAGATTTCTTTGGTAATTCAGAATTTAGAATTAGGGTTTAGGATTTAGGCAGTGTGGCCTGAAAAACAGAGGAGAGTCCCTCTCAATGTCTCTGATCTGCTGTAAAAGAGTCACTAATAAAGGACATTCATTTTACGTCCTGCTGCTAGATGGTGCTAAACCACCAAGAGGTCTGGAATATGCAGGAGAAGCTTGGTTAATGCACAGGGAAGAATCCTACCCATCTCCCAGCAAAAAAACAGTGAAGTTCAGTGTACTGAGATCAAATCAGTGAACATACAAATAGGTAGATATAAGATTGTAGGTGAAAATATTAAGAAAAAAATCATTAAAAGAGGTATGTGTTAATGCTGGAACATTAAAAGCAAAACAACAACAACAACACAAACCATAAGTCAGAACTCTGGAGTCAATGACTTTAATATTCCCCAGGAATCCTGAAGGTCCAAAATATGTAGTCTCATGTCACTTTTCAGAATTTGAAACTTACTCCCTGAAGGATGCACAGGCAGCAGGAGAGCCTAGCTGTGAATGAACTTGGCCAGCCATGTCACATTCCCCAGTGAAACGAGAGCCACCAACAGAGTGGATGAGGGTAGTGAAAGGTCGTAACTGCTCACTCAAAACCTGGATGTCGCAGAAGAACAGCAGGTTGGATTTGGGCAACTCTAGTCTGTGAAGCAAACCCACTTGGGTTTCTTTCCAGAAATGAGAATAAGCAATTCCTAAAACCCCTTGAGGAATGCTCCTACCATTGTCAGAATTGCTTATCAGCAAAGAGACAGAACCCCAGCCAAAGTTGAGAAGGCCTTGACCTTTGCTGTGGAGATGTGCCCGGGAGGTGCGTGATCCTCCACAGGAATATGACTCAAGAGAAATATATTTTAATTAGCATGTTGGAAGACTTTAGTGCCTTATTGATAAAGTAATTAACCATTTGAAGGGGACACTTAAATTTTTGGTTACAATTTTTTGCATTTTGTGGGAGAAGCAGTATCCTAGAGAAGCAGTATACTGCAATGACATTTGCAAATGTGGGGATTCTAGGTAATGCCAACTGTCTGACTATAGCAAAATCAGCAGGAGGCTAACCTTAAAGTCCCCCTTCCATTAAATCAGATCTTCTTGGTATAGACTAAACAAAACTCTGCATGTTCTTCACTGCTACAAGGCCCTGAATCAGCTGTCACTGTGTCTGCCCTGTGGGTAGAACAAAGTCCCAGACCTAACCTGCCATTTTGAAGGTAGTGAAGCCAGTAGGAGGGAGAATGGGAAATGCAGGTATCATAAGATACAGGTGGAGCAGAGACCTGTCATTCATAGCCACTGTGGATGAGTTCAGAGAGTCCCACCGAAGGGGTCAGCTTCAGGTGCAGCAGAAGACCTGACAGCATTATTTTACGTTTGCTCAGTGAATAAAATAGTATTTTACCTTAATTGGCCAGTTACTACAAAACCTGAGCTTTTGCCAAAACATCAAATACCACCGTCAACTAACACATTCTGTGCTGGCTTTCCCCCATCTTGCTCATGGGACAAATAGAGTTCCCTGTGCTTCCGGAGCATGTGCGTTCCTGGCCACTTGGTCGCCAGACTCCTGCAGTCCCCAGTAACACAGCAGAGCCTGAGATTTAAGAGATTTGGATTCTCATCTGTGAAAAGGGCTAATGATAACTTTACGCCCACTTCACGGGCTGTCCTAAGAACGAAGTAAGTATTGTGAAAATGCTGGTCCCATGCAAATGCTGGAGAGTGTGGTTGTTTTTCTCAGTACAACAAGACCATGTCGCCAGATTTTAGAATTCACTCCTATATTCACATTGCCCTTGATTTCTTTCTGTGGGAACTATCGCACCCTCCAACTACTAAGAGTGTGACTCCTCTACTCACAGAGGTTCTTCAGCCCCTTGTGCTGGTTGGAGGAGTGGCCTTGTTGGCGCTGTGGTTCTGTGTTGCTGCTGAGCAGCTGCTGGTGGGCCTGGGGGACCCTTCCTCAGAGCTCCTGAGGTTTACTGCTGAGTCGGGTCCCAGCCTCGCACCCCTGGTCTGCAGCCTTCTACCTGCCATGCCCTGTGCACAGGTGACACAGTTTGGCCCTCCAGTTCCTGCATAGGATACGGGCACAGACCATGTGCCTCAGCCTAAGCTACAGGA